GACAGCAAGATAGATCAATACTTTTGGGTTTTAAAATTTCATTCATTTATTTAGTTAGTTTTGGCTTTTTGAGACAGAGTCTTTCCAGGTAGTTCAGGCTGGGCTTGAACTCTTGATCTTAGCCAAAAGGTCAAGAAGCTATAGGGCTTGAACTTACTATGTAGCCCAGGCTGACTTCAAACTCTCAGTAATCCTCCTGCCTCAGCCTCCTGAGTGTTGGCATTATAGGGGTGCACCACCACACCCGGCTACTAGACTAATACTTTTAAAGAGTTTTGAGCAAAAGGGGCAGAATGAACCTGGAAGAGAACAAGGGTCGGAGGATGCTACCTACTCAAAACACAGAAAGGCTGCTAACACCTGTAGAGATGACACACGTGGATGATGCAACACAGCTGGGAAGAACAGGGAGCCCTGGTGTCCTGGAGCAGGGATGGGACCTGGTACCCAGGTGCGGGGACCCCGTGTGAGGACACAGATGGCTCAGCTGCTGTAATAGAGGCGGCGGTGGGCGGCTGCTTCTATTTTCTCCCCAACTTGGAAGCGAGGCCATCAGTGGAGTGAGTGGAAAGGAGGAGGGGTGGAGGGTGGTGGAGAGAAGGGAAGAATGGAGCCATCAGGCTGGGAGGGAGGCTGTGCAGAAGTAAGGACATGCCAGGAAGGCCACACAGTTGGAACTGCAGTGACAGCGGTCAGCAACGTTCAGCTACTGGGTGAAGGCTGGAGAAGGCGGGACAAGGTGCGACCACAGGAGGAGGGAGGCGGCTGGGAAGGGAGCACTATGAGGGCAGGTTGTAAAGATGGAGGGGAGGGGCTAGGGGACAGGGAGAAAGGAGGTAGGATCTGTAGATGAGTGACAGGACCAACTTATCCACAGCAGGTACAGTTCTAAGGGTCATCATATTTTAGGGGCCCACAGAATGATTTTATTTTAAATTTTAAAATCAGAAAACTAGTAGTTGGGAGACTGAGGCAGGAGGATCACTGCAACTTTGAGGCCAGCCTGGGCTACATAGTGAGTTCAAGGCCAGCCTGAACCAACTACATAGTGAGACCTTGTCTCAAGGGAAAAAAAAAAAAGCTATGGAGAACGATGAAGTCCAGGGCAGAAAGGAGAAGCTACTTTTATTATTTTATGAGGTAGCTATTGTCATATAAATGGCCACCCCAGAATTTAGTGCTTGTAATAATCAGGGTTTATCTGCCATTGTTTGGCAGTGCGTGCTGTCGGTCTTGCCTGTGTTCACTTATGTGTCATGAGTGATTGAGGAAGATTGAACGGGGCCAGGTAATTCAGGTTGACCTCACCTGCCCGGCAGTCTCTGCTAAGGTGCTTGGTTCTCCTCCGAGGGTCTTTGATCATCCGTCCTGGGTTCTGCACCCAATGTTGAAAGTGTTTTAGCGGGCAGGGGGTGAGTGCCGAGGTCTCTCAAGACCTAACCCTAGGGCCTCACAAGGTCACTGTCACTACATTCAGTTAGTGAAACCCAGCCCAGTTCAAGAACTTCAAGATTCTACCTCTTATGGGAGAAGCATAAAATCACTGTGAGGAGTCACACGGGGCAGGAGGAGATATAGAAGCTGTCACTGCAAAAAATCTATCACTGTCATTGGAGAATTATCTGTGCTGTATTGGATCGCAAAGGGCTGGGGATATAGCTCAGCGGCACAAGTGCCTGCCTGGCAAGCACAAGGTCCTGAGTTTGATTCCCGGTACCAAAAAGAAAAAAAAAAAATAACAACAAGCAAAAACTTGTATATTGAATCACCGAGAATAATCCCCAATGTGCATACACACACACAGAGAATTTTCAAGAATTTGACAGAAGTCGGCATGAAAAGAGTAACAATAAAGTGAGGTGCTAAAATCTTCAAAGCACAGAGGGGGAAGTAAGCGATGCCTTCTAATGCCATCAACTTCAAAAACCTCAAATATCTTTATAGTTTTGTCAGTGAATTTTAATTCATTTCATCAACGAAAAGGAATTGTTCACTTTTCAAACCTTCTTTGGCTCAGTCACGTGTCGGTTCAGACTCTAACAGGGAGGAGCCTAAAGCATGGAAATGACTACACGTGTGGAAATCTGTGGTGAAACTGTTCATCTGGCAGCTGTGTTTACACTGCCCAAGATCATATTCTGTGCCTGGTAGACCACTAGGACAACCAATACCTACTGGTTGAATGGATTTATAATAACATAGATACAAATCTATGTGGCCAGTAATCAGAGCAAAGTTAAGTAAATTACAGTGTGTTTATTTAATAGAATATCATGAAACCATTGAAAATTAATTTTTGCCAGTTCTTGGAATTGAACCCAGAGCCTTACCACATGCTAGGCAAAAACATTTTACCACTGAGCCACATCTCCACCCCTAAAAGGCTGTGCTTTCGAAGTCTATCAACACATGATGTGGAATAAAAGAAGTAGGGCAGCCAGGTGTGGTGGCACCCATCTGTAATCCCAGCACTTCGGAGGCGGAGGCAGGAGGATTGCTGCAAGTTCAAGGCTAGCCTGGGCTACCAAGTGAGTTCAAGGCTATGCTATGAACTGCATAACAAAACCCTGTCTCAAAAAAAAAGTAGGGCCAGGGATATTGTTCAGTGGCATAAGAACCTGCCTGGTAAGTGCAAGGTCCTGAGTTTGATTCCCAGTACAAAAAAAAAAAAATCTAAAAAGAAAAAGGCACAACATGGTGGGTATAGTGTAATTATACCTGTGTACAACTGTGTACAAATATTCAGATGTGGAAAAGAGTCAAAGCAATAATAATAGTGGTTTTATCAAGTTAGTAAGATTGTGTGTGATTCTTTTCTTCATACTTTATTTGTTTATTTTTAGTTTTCTTTTTTAAGACAAGGTCTTGCTCTATAATTCAGGCTGGTCTTGAACTCACTATGTAGTTCAGACTGGTCTTGAATTCAAGGCAATCCTCTTGCCTCAGCCTCCTGAGTGCTGGGATTACAGGCATGCACCACCACACTCACTAGAGTACTTTTTTTTTTTTAAGTTATACATGTTCACTGTGGGAAAAGTGAAAATGCTGAAAAAATAAGATGAAAAACCCCTATAATCCCAGAACTCAGGAGGGTGAGGTAGTAGGAGCACTGCAAGTTCAAGGCCAGCTTGGGCTACATAGTGAGTTCAAGGATAGCCAGAATTACATAGTGAGTTCAAGGATAGCCAGATCTACATAGTGAAACTCCATCTCACAAAATCAACAAAAAAATTTTTTTCACTATTCAGAGAAACCCACTGCCACTGTTGAAGTATATTCTGGTCCTCTCGCTTTCAATTAGCAAATCCTTGGCTTTTTGGACATTTTTAAACTTCCAAAGGTGACTTTTAACGGTCACATGTATTGGAACACCATAACCTATTTATCCTACCATATTATCTGACATAGTAGGTTTGCACTCTGAAAAAAAATTTAGAACAAAATTAATGATAGAGCTGTATCATTAATCAACCTCAGCAAGCTCTTCAGCAAAGAGGGTACTTCCGAAGACAGGAACCAGGCTGGAGAGCTGGGGTACTGGGGGCGTCGTTTCCAGTGCAGACTGCAGGGGGGGGCTCTGTGGCTCTGGGGGTGGTTGTGGGACACTGCTCTGCCGGGTTAGGGACTCCTTCCGAGGCTTTGAACTTGAAGACGCGACATTTCAATGTGGAAGACTAGCAGCAGCTTTAGGCCTGGAAAGGGGATCCCCCTCCCCGTCAAGTCCCTCAACCCAGGCTGGGGCGCTGGATGATTAACCTGAGGCCAAGAACAGATGTAATGGGGTTCAGAAGTGGGAACTGGGGGAGGGGAACATTGACAGACGCGTTTCCAGTCCAGGGAGGCGTCCGGGAGGTGTCATCGGAAGGAACACCGTGGGGAAACTGAGACTTGACAGGGAAAGGGGCGGAGGCGGATCCGCCTGCTATTTAGACCGGCGCGGGGCCGGTCCTGCAAGGCTGTAGAACCTGGCGGCGAGAAGAGAGGATCAGAGGGCAGGGCGGAGAGGCGGTGACAGAGGCGGCCGCGGATGGAGGTCTCGGAGCGCGGAGGCGTGGGCTGGGGGCCGGAGGAGGGCGGGGAGCTGCGTGCCGCGCGCGCACGGATTTATAGGAGAGCGTGATGGGCAGCAGGCCTGCGAGCTTAGAGGTGGGGCGTGGGGTGAGGGGCGCGGGCCGGGCGATGGGAATAACCCGGGCGCGCGCCCTTGGCCGGCGCCTGACCGTGCGCCCCTGTAGGCTCGGGTGATTTCCTGCTTGCGTGAAGACAGCGGGGATCTGGGACGTTAGGTGGCAGCGG